GGCGAAACGGCAGCCGCTAAGACCTCTTGGACTGTCGAAGCGCTGGTCCAAGTAAGAGTTGACACGGACTGGAGGCCGCCGATCCATGTCCACCACGAGCTTCGCTAGTTCACACATGGAACATAGTGAGAGCTCGGTGGTGTCTCCACGATACTCGATCGAGCCACCCGACGATGCTTCACACGGCGCGAATTGCCGAACCCACCGCCGGGGCGGGCGTTGGTGTCAGTGGAAGGGATGCACTCGTCGGAGGAGTCCCTAGCTCAGGCGTTACTAAGAGACCACCGTCGGATGCCCCCTCTAACTCAAGTGCGGGAGTTGGCGAACGAGAGCTCTCAACCGAGGCCTCGGGAGATGGAGAAAAAGAACCTGACGATCCAGAGTCCGCTAACCGTCGAAGATACGGGATTTGACCGAGGACCCTCGGCCGAGGCCTCTGGAAGTGAGGAAGACTGGAGGATGAAGCTGGTGAGGATATAAGAACGAGGTGACGCGTTCGTACCACCGCAGACGAGATCTCGGTAGGTCAAAAGACGGCCCACGTACGAGATCATCGTCCTGAAGGGCACGAGCGGCGGCGGCCGTGACGTCGGCCCGGGCGCGTGAGGTAGGCGACATGATATTGGCCGTAGAAGGCGTCACTTCGCTCACTAATTTGGAGAGCTTGGATCGAGACGGGGGCAGTTGTGGTGTAGCGAATAGCAACTTCGCAAACCACCGAACGTTTAAGGCCAACTGGCACAAGAGCAAGTACTGATTGGCCAATTTTATTCTCCGCGCCTTAGTGACGAAGTCCATGTTAGGACCGTCCGAGCCCTCGGCAATCCTAATATAAACTGACTGAGGGTTATTCGGGTTATCCTAAATTAGGATTCCATGCCTTATTTAACCGAGAGCTCGTTTAAGCGAGTCCTCGGTCAGGTCCGGAATGATGGTGAGTTCGTACCTACGTGAACCTCGGCCGGTAGATGTCAGTGGAGAGAGAGTGGGGTGGAAATTGTCCCACATGATCTGTTTACACTTGATTTTAGTATAGGAGTAGGACCGATCGGTAGATGGGCCGTAGAGAGGCTTTCAGACCCCCACATTAGACAGTAATAAAAAGCAGTTCTCCCCCACAGCTAACAAGGGTCGAGGCCGTCTTCGGTAAGTCTAGATAGCTTATCTAAGGCCAAGATACGCCTAGTTGCGTGGATGCCTGTTGATAGACCCGAAGTACATTGAACCAAGGGTCTGTCTGCTAGGTAAGGCCAAGAGGAGAGTGTGGCCGTATATAGAACGTTAGCGAAAGCTCGTTCAGTGTGTATTTGTGTGGACAGAGGATTCCCACATACACTAGACTTCCTACCGAAAATTTCCTCTGTGCCCCTGTACTAGATTTACGAAAACCGGTACTCTTCCTTTTGATGGATAACAGCAGGCTTGCGTGAGAGCGCTAAATATACATCCTAGTCCTCGTTCGTGGCTAGGTAGGTTTCTTAAGGGTTGACCGAAGGCAACCCGGGGTACACAGAGGCTAGTCCAACCCGGTGTAAGGGCTCGTTCCTGGTCTTCAGGTATAGATCCAACAAATCACTTACCTTTGCGGGAAAGGTTGTTGTTGGTAGGAACTCACCCGAACGTGAAAATTCTATAGTGTCGTACACGACACTTGAGGTTCAAGATTTTGCACAACAATTAAACCTGCTGCGGTTGACTGACGCGGATGATCTCGTAAAAGTCCCAAGCGCCCGAGATTGTGCCAAGAATCGTCAGAAGAAGGATGCGTTTGGATCCAGCAAGACTCGGCAGAAGCCAATCAATACTGCCCCATCCGTTCCAGCGAAACAAATGCGCGCGATCCAGATCCAAGCTAATGACTCCGGATCTGATAGTGAATCTGACGGATCGGGCGGATCTGACTCCGACATGGACAGACATCGCAGGACCTTCCTCGCAGTGAACGAAGACGTTACTCCGAAGGTGGAAGAGGAGTCGCCGAACTTGGATCCACGACTTCCCGACCGTGATCACGGCCATCAAGATTACAACTCGAAGATCCACGGTAATGGTTTTAACCGCGATCGATCTTCGCACTGTGGATCCAGGAAGCACTCGGATCTTGGTTGCTGGAGGCGGGTTACGTGCACGAAGTGTGGCAAAAGAGGACACCCCTCGGATCACTGCCTCTTCGTGTGTCGCGGATTTGGAGAATTGCATGACATGGGAAAATGTCCGATGGAAGAGTTCTACAACCAGATCGCCAGTGATTTAACTCCACGAAGCACATGGGTATGCTACCCGATGCTACTGAGAAGATGTTAAACTAGGACGCTCGTCGGGGTGGAATCCGATAAGAGCCGAGTGTTCTAAATACGGTATCTATGCATTTGTGATCAAGACTTCGGTAGACCAGGTTAGTAAACGACCAGATCTACACGGTAATACATGTGTTCTGCATGGAAAACGCACCTTCGTAATTGCAAGTCTTCGCCAAGCCGACGAATATGCCAGATCTGAAATCACCATGAGCGTAGATCTCCAGTCAGGAGAGTCACGAGGTTACTGGAAGCAACAGGATCCAGATCTATGGTTTAAACCCACAGATCATGAAGCTACTCCGGAGATCCAGAGGCCTAGCAAGATCGCGGAGTATCGACGGTCAACAGCCATGGACCTACTACCAGGAGAGTCTCATGGTTACTGGAAACACCATTGGCCAGGAAAATGGTGTCGTCAAGCGAAGATCACAGACAAAATCCACAATGAGAACAATGATTACTCCTAGATACCGGTGTGGAAATGTCCATCGTGGACACCACCTTTGCTCGTAAGGTAGGGTGCTATTTCGACTCGAGTCGGATCCAATACTGTGAAGGAATTGGCGATAAAGTGTACCGGGCAGAAGGAAAAACCCGGATCATGGTGACTCTCCCTGGATCATTGGTATATTTCTTCGATATCTGGGGTGGGGATCAGACTGGCCAACAAGTTATACTTGGTATGGACTTCATGGTCCCAGCCGGGATCCGCCTGGATCTAGCTCACGGATCAATCAGTCTGCCGGATGAAGTCCGGATCCATCTTAGCGGAAAACGCCAGCTTTATATCGACAAGGCGGAGATCGTGAATGTCAGTCAATAGCTTCGGATCCAAGCAGGAGAGTCGGTGGAGCTACCATTACGCCTGAGATCGTCGATACACGACAAGCTTTGTGTCACATGCGGGGACAATGGGTGGCCGCCATATCCGATGGACCAGGGAAAACGAAGTACATCTCGATCACCAACATCGGGGATGAGGTGTTGACCCTACATCAAGACCAGCGGATCGGGATCTGGCTGGCCGGGGATCATGAGCCGGGACTACTGGGCTTCAGCTCGATCGGGTCTCGCCGTCACATGGAGTGGCAGAACCTAACCTTAGAGACCACGACAGACGCTCGATCCGAAGATATGGAGATCGAAGCCGGTGGTAGAGCGACCCGAGTACAAAACTCCGCGCACGATACTCCAGAGGTCAAAGCCGATGTCGATCAAGTGTCGGAAGGTCGAGGTGAGTCAGGATCAAGGTATTCCTGACTGCCTACCATAGGACAACTCGCCGTCGGATAAGTCACCGTCCGACAAATCGTCGGAGAATCGACCATTGGATCTAGCGTCTGTCGCAAGTGAGGAGTCGGATCTGTCGTCTATCGCAGATGAAGGCTCTATATCGCATCTTGTAACGGTCAAGGGGGCGCTGGAAGATCTCGAACAAGTAACGCCAGACGCCTGAACGACTGATCCATCTTTGGAAGAAGCTACAAGTGCAGTGGTAGTGCGAGAAGAGGAAGGTCGATATGGAATTGGAGTCACCAACCAGGATCAACTACATTCGGGTTGCCAGGATCAAGGAACATCATCGTCAAAATGCGGCGGATGAGATCCGTCATCAATGATGAGTGTACAATCTGGGGCGGGACATGTGGCCAGTGATCCGTTGAATGACAAGTATGTCGCGTCTATGTCGAAAAATGGACATGGATCCACCACCTGTCGTTGAAGATCAACCAGACGCGTCGGATCTGGACTTCACTTGGGACTCAGATCAAGATTACGATGAATGTGTATACTACCATGAAGCAAGTGATCTGTCCGTGGAAGATGTCGACCGTCAGATGGCGGTACTGCCAGAAGTGCCTGTGACGACGGAAGATGTGAAGATCGAAGACATTCAGCTATGTGGATCTGATAACCAGACCCCAGAAGAAATTGATCTACTTCTCCAAAGGATCTGGAAGTTCTGACATCTCTTGATTGGCAGAGGAAATGCCCTTCCGCCGAGTGGTGTGCGACATCGATGATAGAGGAGCGAGTCCTATCGCCCTGAAGTGTCGCAAGTTGCGGATCCAGTTCAGGGAGAAGCTGACGGACTTGATCAAAGGTTTATTGTCCGCCAAGATGATCAATTACTCTAGATCACCATGGCCTTCCCCGACCGTGGTGATCATCAAGAAGAACGGAGTGGATATCAGGTTGTGCATCGATTACCGGATGGTTAACAGCCTAACCCAACTGATGATCTACCCAATGCACTTGATCAACGATCTACTTGAAGATCTAGAGTCAACACTCTGGTACTGTTCTTTGGATATGGCTAGTGTATTTTGGGTAGTAAAAATGACGGATTGTGCTCGTTTGATCTCGGCTTTTATGACTCCCATTCGACTATTTGAGTGGAATCGAATGCCCTTCGGCTTGAAGAATGCACCCCAGATCTATCAACGTTCGATCGATAACGCGTTATATGAATTCATTCGGATCACGAATTCTGAAGATCATGGAAGTACTTTGGATGTGTTTGAGGACGGGGAACCCGTGGATCCGGGCAAGCCATCGGTGCTTGGCCGTAGATCATACATCGACAACATCCTGATCCCATCCAATAACTGAGACCAACTATGTGACCGAGTTGAGGGATTACTCGAAGCGTGCGATAAGTGGAATCTGTCGATCAGTGTAGTTAAGCGTTTCTGGGGAATGCTTAAGGTGGAATTTCTGGGTCATAAGGTCTCCCACAATGGACTGGAGGCGAAAGAACTGTCTGTATTGACTGGGCTAGCGTTTCCAGTACCACGTAGAGCCATGCAGTCATTTTTGGGAAGCCTGAACTACTACAGCCGCTTTATCGAAGACTTCGCGATCTATGCGTCGGTTTTGTATGAGTTGCGAGAAATCTACTTCGCCGCGATGATGAAAGACACCACCCAAGTACGGATCCAACGAGTATTAAAGGTGGAGAGTGTGGATCAATGATCCCGGGAAGATCAAACGATCGACCGCCAGAAGACCCTGGACCTGGAGGCGCAAGATCTCACTGAAGTGAATCCGCGTTGGATCCATGCCTACCGATCTTTCAGTGTGCTTAAATCCAATATCGCCACTACTCCGATCTTGCTGCACTTTGAGCCAGATCGAAGAGCTACGGTTGTGGGGTATGCTAGTGACTGGGCCATCTCAGGATCGTTGATGCAAGAATATGACAAGATCTACTACCCGGTGATATTTGCGAGCCGTACGTTGAAGTCAAATGAGCTGAATTATGGCATCGCGGAGAAGGAGGTACTGGTCTTGCGGAGGATCCTGGATCTTAACTACAATGCCTTGGTCGGACGTCCGATCCATGTGTTGGCCCGACACTCTACTTTAGCGTGGCGCTCCAGATCCACAGCCTTGCAGGGACGGTTAGGTCAGTGAGCCGCTCTACTGTCGCCGTGAGCTCTCGAGATCACCAAGTGTGTCAACGGTGAAGATGAAATCCTAAGAGCATTGGCCGCTAGTATTACGCCTAGATCAGACGTTGGTCTCGATTGCTCCCAAAAAGGAGCCGCGGCGCAAGATCCAGGCTCCGATCCCCATGATGAGCATTTATATGCTGCTAGATTCGATGGACCCGCTCGTGTCAGGAGAGGTGGAGGCGCTTACAGCCCGAACTTGTGGAAATTGCCTGCATGGAGGGTGTTAAAAGCTAGATCTGGCTACGCGGAAGGTCTGACAGTAAACGAAGGAGAATATCATGGGTTGCTGCTGTGTTTGGATATGTAGGAAGATTTAGATCCACGACGTCTAGTGATCTGCGGAGACTCGAATCTGGTGATCCAGCAAGTACGAGGTGAGATTGACTGTAAGGCACCGGGTCTGACACTACTACGCCAGAGGGCACTGGATCGACTACGAATTTGGCCGGATCACAAGTTGTTGCATGTTAAACAAGATTGGAATGGGAGTGCCGACGGCTTAGCGGGTGCCGCGCTGCAACGGCAATGTGGGATCGAAGTGGAGTCTGAGAAGAGGATCTAGGGTCTAGTGACCTTCAGTCGGTTGGACGAGGTCCTGGTGGCGAGGGTCGGAGATGAGGTCGCTCAGATATTTGCTGTGACGACCCGATCTAAGGCTAGATCCGGAGTGCGAGCTGGACCTGATCCAGACTCATTATGAGAGGAAGTTGTGAGAGAACTGCGGATCGAGCAAGTACGGCAAACACAGGATGAGGAGTCGTGGATCTCAGGCCTGAATAAGTATTTGGTTGGAGAGATCTGAGATCTGGCACAAGAAGCCGCAAAGGTGTTTGGATTTATTGCTATGAATTATGTAGTGGATCAGTCGGATCTACTCTTCTATTTCCCGACGACTACGGAGGCTGCCACGGATCGAAACAAGTTTATGCGATTGGTGGTCATTGAGATTCTTCAACAAGATATTTTGCATCAATACCTCACGAGTCTGCAGGATGGTCATCAAGGGATGGGTCGGACCTATGATCGGATCCGCGATCACTTCCATTGGAGAGGGCTGTGTAAGAGCGTGCAGCCATATGTGGGGGGAATGGGTTGACTGCGAGACAGGCAAAGGACGACCTCGGATCCAAGCTGAGTCGCCTGGTAATCTTCAGGCAACATACCCGTTCCAGATCATCACCATGGATCACATACCTTCGCTCCCCATATCTTTCAAGGGTAACACAGAGTTGTTGATCTTCGTTGATCTGTTCTCTGGAGAAGTCGTTGCCAAGGATAGCGCCTCTAGATCTGCACAGACGATCTCTTCAATAAGATCTTGGGTCAACCCCAACGTGCTACTATGGCTTATCGATCTCAATCTAATGGATCCGAAGAGCGTATGGTCCAGACGAACCGGAGCTCTTAAGATGTAAGTGGAGGATCTGGCTCAACGTGATTGGGATGAATACACCGACCGTTGGTATGAATACGCCAAACGGCTCATCTTCGCGATCAACACCGCAAGAGGTCGGATCCGAGGTGAAACCCCTTTCTACATGATACATGGTTGGGATCCTAGATCTACTCTGGTAACGGTGATCCCGGTGGGGAGCACCCGCAGGCACAATCGAGATCCAAGAAGATGGCAATATCAGATGCAAAAGTATTACCAACAGGCTCGAGAACAAGTTAACCAACGTTTTCGCAAAGCAATCGCGGATCGAGCCGACTCGCATAATGATCTGGTAAGCCCACATCATCTGGAGGTTGGATCAAGTGTCTGATTGTACTTGGATCGAGTGCGTGAAGGGTATGCGAAGAAGCTGGCGCACTTATAGCATGGGCCATTTCGCGTCGCTGAGACGATCAGGGAATATGCAGTGAGTTGGAGATTGCAGGATCCACGTACAGCATCTTTCCGGTGGTACACGTCTCGAAGATGAATCTGGTCAGCATTTTTCCAGATCGACCTGTAGCTCACCTAGAGGAGTCGGATGCCGATCGAGTTGACTTCGATGAAGCTCTCTTGCCTGAAGACAGTTGGATCCAAGATCAAGATCCAGATGAATATGAAGTGGATCGAATTTCCGATATGAGGACTGGTAAAAAGACAAGATATGGACGGATTTATCGAGAATTCCTGGTACACCGGCGTGGATATGAAGATCTAACTTGGGTGGATGAAGCGGATCTCAACTGCGGCACCCTTCTTTATGAGTTTCTGCGAGACCGCACTAATCGTAACCGGTTTGGTGTCATGCAGTCTCCTGAAGGACCGTGAGATCTGGATCCACACTGATGAGTTGGTCATTGGTGTGGTAGAAATGCGATGGAACTGCAAGGAGGTTGCAGATCGAAGGACAGCTCTTGTATAAAATTGTGTATGATGGAATGCCGAAGGAAGATCTATGTGGGTGATCAATATGGAAAATACCTGTATAGGTGAAGATTTAAGGCAAAAGATGTATGGATTAAAATGGACCTGACGTATATTGCGACATGGGGTCTGGGATCTAGGTAGAATAAACCTACCTGCTCGAGGGTACCGCTATTGCCAAGCGGAGATCTACGCGATGGAGACATGTACATGCGCAGACCCAGAAGTGGTATTGTCGTGTATCAAGGTGAACGTTGGGGATCTGGTGAAGAATCGCTCATCTGTATGGAGATCTGTGTGGGGCGGTTATGAGTGACATGGCTAGAGACAAGAGATGGCGACTGAAGTGTGACTCAAAGGAAACCGATATGTATTGTAGCAAAATGTCTAGATCTGGGCAGAGCCGACTTGCCTGTGCTGAGATCTACCACTACGGAGACGCAGCAGGCGCAGCAGCAGTCTTGCCGCCATGTTGAAGAATTTACCCCCCCCAAACGCGCAATCCGACGAGCTGGATGATCGGCATGCTGAAGTCTGAAGTGAGTACGCCACGGATCTGCGTCGTCGCAATCTTTCCCTTGATCAGGGTGATGGGCTCAGGACGATTTAACCGTGGATCTGCCAAGTTAGCCTACGCGCCTCGATACCTGGGTACCATAGCACTTCGTTTGTCCGCTGGGGGAAGTGCATAATGAAAGAATCTAGCAGGAGATCCATGTCGCACCATCCCTCACGCATGGTGATAATGAAGAGGAACATGATCACCTTCCAGCGTGCGCCAGCATGGGATCTCCGATTTTTCCGCTCCACGCAAAAGGTGGCCAGGTATGGATCCGTGCGGACCAATATCGGGGGCGACAAGAATCGATGTGTGGATTCCCAGTAAGCGGTGAGATCTTGGATCTTCATGGCCAAATAGCGCTCCACCAAAAGCCCAAGTGCCCACCCACGTCGGAATCGAACGATATGAGCTCTGGAGTGTTGGCGCCACCGAGCATCTCCTACGGTTTGGCGGCCATGAGCGCTTGGACGTTGGGGGCAGTGATCAAATGGCCACAATAGTCGGTGGTGGTGGTCGTGACCGCTATGGGGACTCTGCCAGGGAAGATCCAACTGGGATCGAGCGGAAGTGCTCGGGGCAGGAAATGGTGGTCAGGGTCCAACTCGCGATCCGATCAGGCACCCAAGGATCCACATCCGCCACGGTGGCACGCGAGCTTGATGGCGGCCTGGAATACAAACTTGATCGGCGGCGAAGGGACGTTGTGGGAGCATAGCAGTATCCGTAGAGATATGCCAGCCGTATGGATTTTGAGGAGGAGCAGTCCCTCCGTCGTCATTGCCGAATCCACTGGCTTTAGAGCTATCGCCGGAACCAGGGTCGCCAGCACCACCCGCAGCAGCACTACCAGGGGCTATATGATCTCTCCGGCGCTGCTCAGATCTAGATCGAGTAAGCGCCATCAGTGTTAGCGCTTGGAGCATGTCATCAAGGACCTCGTCACTATCTTGGCACACGGAGCTTTCGGGAGAAGTGCCGTCGTCGCCATCCGCGTCTGGATCCAGCGTATCCTTGGCAGTAGAGGACTTGTGGTGTTCTCCGATGGTATCAATCGCCTTGGAAGCGCCTCCTGTGTCGGATTCGCCGGATCCGTCTAGCTCGTTAGCCAGATCACGAGGGTGGTGAGTAAGATCCGGATTACTTGAATCACCACCTTGGTCAGGCTCGCCCCACTCCCCATGTCGAAGTCGTCTTGATCTGTATCTTGGTCGCCGCTAATATCACCCTGTTCGATCGTACGAGTTTTATTCTTGAACGGACGGCTCACATCGGAGGAGGGCGATGGAGTACGGGGTCGTTTGGAGGGCGATTCTGAAGATTCGTCAGACGGTGGAGTGAAGTCGGAGTCTTGGTCGTTGGAGGGAGATCCAGGTTGTCGTTATCATCAGACGAAGGATCAGACTCCTCGAATCCAAGACCTTTGCCGCCTGGGGCGGCGTGCTCCCCGTCGGTGTCCAAGCAAAGCTGAGTAGTGGGAGGATCAGACCCCATGCCAGCGGCCACAATGAATAACATCTCGAGGGCCTGACGAAGCTTTCGCCGTAACGCAGTACGCTCCCGATCGACTGTTTGTAGGCTGCGACCTAACTACAACATCCGGGATTTAGTCTCGGTAACGGTGCGGCATACGCTGTCCGTGCAAGGTTAACGGCATGGTCTACAGTAAAGGAAGTGTTAGCCGGTCGGATCAGACAAAACGACGTCCGTTGGATCTAGGAGATAAGGCACGTACCAAGTGCATTGCTGCGTTGGTGAAGCTCCCTCAGACGTTTTGGAGCCTGCGTCAGATCTATGCGAAGAACCTCTTGACGATCCTTCTCCTGCTGAATCCCATCCGACTTTTGTTTGAGTCGATCGCGAAGGTCATCAGCTTCGCGGTCGCGGTCTTGGACTCGGACATTTAACTCATTACACTCCCGCGACACCCGCAGAAATTGGTTGTGAAGAGAATCACGATCAGCCTGTATGCGATCCAGTTTGGCTTGAAGCGTGGTGTGGTGACTTGGAGGCGGATCGGCTCGCGCGAGCTGACAAGCAGTTAAGGGATCCGCTTCGGTTTGATCCAGCACCGAACAAGCGCGCTTGAACACAGACTCAGTGGCTCGTAGTTGGTCCGTTGCCGCATCGCGATCTCGATTCGCCGTGTCACGTTGGCCCTGAAGGTCGAGGATCTCCTCACTCCCTTGATCTCGCTCACGGAGCAGATGAACGACTTGAGACTTTAGATCCGCTATGTTATTCTCGAGCTGGTGAGAGTCAGATCTTGGAAGATCCGAGTCGTGAGGAGTTTGCTGCGTCGACTCCAGAGTCGTTTGCAACGTATCGCGATCTGCACGAGCCGGTTGATCGATGTTTGTATGAATGCAATGGCTTGATCCTGCTCGCGAACTTAATCGCGAAAGTCAGCGAGCCGCTTCTTGTGCTCGATCGAGGGTGATCCGGACCCTTGGGGAAGGGTGCGTGATGCTGATGCAGCCGTAAGCTCGCCGGAAAAGGTTGGTCGCATACTGATGCAGCTCGGCACGAGTGGTGTCAGGGTCGAAAGCCTCCTCGGGCAGCTTGTTGTCGACGAATCCGTCGTGACTTGAGCTACTGTTGTTGGCCATGAAGGATCTTGGATATTGGACAATGTGCATAGTGGAAAATGACAGCATTATTACCGCCGTGCAAGTGGATTGGGGAAAATACGACAGGAAAGCCACGAATAAGAAATGATGGATGGATCTAGGCCGGGGACACGGCGATCGATCTGGATCAGAGGAATCAGACCCGACTCAGATCGAACTGGTTCGGAGCCATGGGATTGGTCAAAATTATCCTGATTATAGGAGCTTGATCCGAGTACGACTATATCTGATCTAGGCATGAATACTCAAGACTAATCTGGATCAAGTAAACCAGGTATGTAATCGGCAGCGCACGGCAAAATCCGAAGCAAAGTAGCTACCAGAGGGGAAGGTATGTGTATCCAGGTCGTAAAGATGGGACGAACCAGAGTCAAGGCTTAGGAATAACAGAGAATCGAATTTGCATCATTGGGCACAAGTGGCTGGTTTCTTTATTTGATCCACATTTAGTGTATTACGGACACCTCGGATCAAGACATATACTGGTTATATAAGGTGATCTCGTGTCAGGAATACTGTATTTAGTGTAGTTTGGATAATTGGATCATATATTGGCTAGATCCAACTACCTAATACTTATTCTATACGTGCAAGCTTCGGATCCACGTCATTTAGTGTTTGGCCGTGTGATCCATCGATCTCTTAAGACCTCCCAAAATCCAGCCATAGGAGACTGTGGTAAAGCAAATTGCAGCTTTCAGAGAAAGCTCATTTCGGACCATGATTGGTCAATTATACCCCCCC